GAGGGTTGTGTTTTGTGAATTGTGTCTTCATGTGACATGTGTTTATGGTACTGGAATATGGTGGCTACATTTAGTAAATGTGTTTAGACTACTGGTCATTTGGGTTACAGGATTGGCTTTTGTGTTTTAACATTTGAGAAAAACTGTAATTTAAAAGCACTTCCTGCAGCTTGACCGGAAGCTCCACTTAAAGCTTTACCGGTCACCCGCGTTGAAATGGTCACGCCGAGCCCTGCTCTTCACTCAAACGGTGCAACAAAAGTGGCACTTGACCACTGATTATTAACGACTGTCCTCAGTTGTCGCTGTAATCACCCGGGATCTCCTGTCATTGCAGGTCTCTACCGCGCGTCCGCAGTAAAGTTGGGAACCAACCCGAACCTTTTGGACCCTTAGGGATTACCGTCCCCGTCCTAAATAATTTAAATAATTTTAAAAGCACCACTGTGGACTCTAACCACCAGTTTATTTATCTGATGCTATCTCTAATCAATTGGGAATTAAATCCCTTATCCAAATGTCCTAATCTAATCTCTTTTCTTGGCTGACGTAACACAATTGACACACATAACATCAACTTCAAACACACGTCACATCAACTTTGAAATTCATCCCAGCATTAACAATAATAAATTTTCGTCGGTCAAATTTCCCCAAACTTTTGCTTTTATCACCAATCACCGAAAATCACCACAGACATTTCACCAGAAAATCTACTTAGTGGACATTTAATTTATCTTGATTTCCAATTCATCACCTTTTGGATATTTTCTTTAATCAACAGGCGGTGCCTTACCTTTCTATTAAGGGCCTGTCACTCAGTTGACCTGCTGGCGGGGGAGTGTGGGAATTATATCATTTTTATATCATGTTTATTCTTCTATATCCTTTTTATTATGCTTTGAGCAGTGGCATTTGATGAAAACATTTATTAAACATATAGTTTTGATCATGTTGTTACACATTGCATATGTGCTCATGAAAAGAGTTAAGCACTCAGTCCTGTGAAGGTCATAAGCTTCGTTCAGCTGACTGTCTAGACTGATATATTGTAGGAATGGCGTGGAATGCAGTGAAGGAATGCATAGCACGCTTACACACACAGACATAACATAGATTTATTTCTAGGGTAGAGGTGAAACACATTTTGCTTTGTCTTTGCACAGCAACAATTGATACAGAAGGTGTTAAAGATAACCATGACATGAATAAGTCCACAGGTAGCATCTGGAGGGTGAGACGGCCATGCAGGGTAAAATGCTGCTGAACACGAAAACTTGGTGAACTGTCATTAATTCTAACTTATGCTTGTTATATTCTTTGTTGACCCGTGAAGGGACGTGAACCCTGATATAATAAAACTATTTTGCTGACAGAAAACATTTTGATCTCAGAAGGATCTGTGATTGTTCACTCTCTAATGTCTGACAGTGGCTCTACAATCTTTGTTTGCCCATTCTTCTTTTCCCGTCAAAAGAAGAAGTGAGATGGGGCATCCATCTCTGGGACACTGAGGGAACGTCACCTGATCAAAGCCTCTTTGGCTGTCGTGCCCAACAGGTTGGCCAGAAAAGCCTTTTTAGTTTTGAGGGAATCTAAAAGCCCTCAGTTTCCTGTAGATGCTGCTAAACCCTGCAGTTCTACCACCAGAGTCTCTAGGTCTCTCATAGATCTGGTTATGCCTCTAGTAACATCATGAGTAAATTGCTAACACAATTGTTTGATCTGACACTTCCCAAAATCATACCACTGTTGGGGAAAAAAAGAAAATCTGATTCAGATTTTTTGTGATTGGGCCAAAAATTGGGCCAACGGATGTTCTAAAAGATTTGTCATGCAACAGGGCTGTATTGAAATGCCAGTAGGCACTCCATACATGGAAAATTTTAATTTAATTTTATCAATTTTAATTTTAAACCCTACAATAATACAAAGAGAAAACACAACAGTCGCACAACCCCCTATGAGCAAGCATAGGGGGAAAAAAGCATGTTAAAATGAAAAACTCCCTTTTAACAGGAAGAAACCTCCGGCAGAACCAGGTTGAGGGAGGGGCGGGGCCATGTGCCGCGACCGGTTGGGGTGAGAGAAGGAAAACAGGACAAATACATGCTGCGGAAGAGAGACAGAGATTAAAAACAAACATGATTCAATACAGAGAGGTCTGTTAACACATAGTGAGTGGGAAAGGTGACTGAAGAAGAAATACTCAATGCTGTAATGTGATGTGCGCTGAAATCTAACTGAAACTCTTTAAATAAGCCATTTCTCTGCAGATGATCTGTTAGCTGTCTGTTGACAACTACTCTTTCAAGAGAGTAGAGTAGTACAAGAGTGCTCTTTTACTCTTTTGATATGAAAGGAAGGCTAGAGTAAAGTGAAGTAACATCTCACAGAATCATTAATACATGTAAAAGTAAGTGTTATTTTCTGTGTTCCCTTTTTTCAGACTGAGTAACTGTAACCTATCAGAGAGAAGCTGTGCAGCTCTGTCCTCAGTTCTCAGCTCTAGGTGGTCTAGTCTGAGAGAGCTGGACCTTAGTATCAACAACCTCCAGGATTCTGGAGTGAAGCTTTTGTCTGCTGGACTGAAGATGCCAAACTGCACACTGGAAATTTTGAAGTAAGAATGCAGTGTTTTCTACTTAATGTTAAGCAGAATTTGTATTATGTTATTAAGTAAAAAGTAAAAGGTTATAGAATTGTCAGGTGCACTATTTACCTTTGGATGGATTAGTAGACTGAATTACTTTACGTCTTTTTCTGACCAAGTTACCGTATTTTCACGACCATAAGACGCACTGTGCTAAAAGGCGCAGTCTCAGTTATGTGTGCCATTACTGTATTTAACACACACATAAGGCGCACTGGATCATAGGGCGCATACAAGTACCGTATGCGTATTTAAAAATAAAGCGGGAGCAACCTGAGTTCGGTACCTTACTCACATTTTTATTACCAATAATCGTCATCATCAACAACACACAAGCATACAAGTGTGCGTATTTAAAAATAAAGCAGGAGCAAAACTGAGTTTGGTACTCACATTTTTATCATCAATCAAACCCATCGAAGTCCTCATCCTCTGTGTCTGAATTGAACAGCTGCGCTAAATCTCCATCAAACATGCCAGGTTCACTTTCTTCACTGTCAGAGTCACTTTCCGTGCCGTGCGACTCCTCGGAAACGATGCCGGCTTTTGCGAAAGCTCGAACAACAGTGCCAGCAGACATGTTAGCCCAAGCATCTACAATCCATTGGCAAATTGTGGCGTAACTCGCCCGGCGCTGCCTTCCACTCTTGGTGAAACTGTGGTCTCCATCGGTCATCCATCGCTGGATGTGTTTGTCGCCGATGTGTTTGCTGCAGTAGGAGCGAAAGATGGCCAGCTTTTCCTTATAATCCGCTGGAAGTTGCTGCGCTACCGTAGTCCTGGTCCGGATGGAAAAATGGCACCGTTTCATAAAATGTGATAGTGAAACTGCTTTTAGCCGAATGGTGACCATCGAAACGCTTCTCCCGCTCGTTCTTTGCTCGATGATCGCCTTATGTCCGCGGAAACTCAGCTGCGTCTTCTTGACCTGTCGGAGCTTGTTTTCCAGCTTCCTCCACTTGCGAACCATCGATTCATTAATCTTAAATTCTCTCGCCACTGCTCGATTTCCATGTTCCTCCGCGTAGCTGATGGCCTTCAGTTTAAACTGTGCTTCGTAAGCGTGTCTCTTTGCCATTTTCAGGGTTGTTAAAACAACGATGTCCTGCATAACGCACATACCTGTTCTTTTATACAGGTATGTGCAATAAAGTCAACGCACACACTTCACCCTTTAGCGTTCTCATGGTGTTCTCTAATACGTCCTCATTATAACACACAGGGCGCACTGCGCTATAGGGCGCACCGTACTTTTTGAAGAAAATCTAAGACTTTTAAGTGCGCCTTATGGTTGTGAAAATACGGTAAGTCTGTTAATATATTTCTACCTTTATTTCTGTAAATAATATGCATAATATTTAGAACATCCTGTTTCAGAGAGTTATTAAATAACTAGTTTACATGCTCGCTGCCTCTAGACTGGGTCATTCTAATTCATTATTATTAGGTTGTCCTAATGAAAAGCTTTCAGCTGATCCAAAATGCTGCAGTGAGATTGATTAAAATGAGAGAATATTCTATTCCTTGGCTCCCTGTTGAATATAGACTTAAAACTTAAATTCTTCTTCTCATTACAAAACTCTTAAATAATTTGGCCCTCTCATAAGTTGAGGTCTGTTGAAATTCACTTCATGTTAAAAGGGAGTTTTTTTCCTATTTTGACCAAGTGCTGTTCAAAGGAAATAGAGGAGGAAGAGCCGGAAACATTTCCTGTCCTTCATTCACTTCCTGTTTGTTTCATGATGTGATATGAATGGTAACACATAAGGGAACCTTATCAGAAACAGAATTAACCTTTTCTGATTTTTGGGAGTCTTCTCTGTAATATTATAGGGTCTACTTCTGCACAACTTGAAGCAACTTATCTTTATGAAGCTAATTTGAATTAAACTAGTGCAATGAATGAGTTATTGTGTCTGAAAAAATAAAGATAAACCCTTAGTGATCTATTAAAAGGGGGATTGTTGTTTTGTGTCTCTGCAGTCTGTCGCACTGTCTGGTCGCAGCAAAAGGCTATACTGCTCTGGCCTCAGCTCTGAGCTCCAACCCCTCCCATCTGAGAGAGCTGGACCTGAGCTACAATCATCCAGATGACTCAGGAATGAAGCTGCTGTCGGCTGGACTGAAGGATCCAGGCTGGAGACTGGACACTCTTAGGTATGAAGAGAATGTCTGATAGAGGAGGAAGAGCTGGAAACATTTCCTGTGTCCTTCACTCACTTCCTGTTTGTTTCCTGCAGATGTGATATCTGCCCTAACCCTAAACAGAAATAATCATCCAGTTAGAAAAACAACAGGAGACATTTACATATAGTTACCAAAGACAAATTTTTGGAACAGTAATGTTCTATTTAATTGTGCAGTCATCTTAACCCTTAAAAGGTCCTTAAAATCCCATTCTTATTTGTTTCTAAGGCCAAAAAAGTACTTCTGCCTAAAATATTCAGCATTATATAATTATATCTTGTGGGTTTTAACCATTTAAACCCCAGTATCGTTAAATATCCGCAATATTTTTTTAACAGAAAAAGACAAAAAACAATATATTTTCCATAAGATACATTTCAAGTTTTATTTGATTGCTATTTTAATTAGGCATTTAGATGGGTCAAAAATTGCCATCAACATTACTTTTTAAGCATCATTGTAGATTTTGCAGGGGTGCATTTTAAGAAATAATTCCTTTGGCCCATGGTTGTCATAGACCAAAGGTCAAGAAGGGTGAAGAATATGTAGAAATATAACAATATCCATACATTTGGGGGGGGGCTCAGATGTGTGGGTAAACAGCAATGAAATAAAAGCTTCCGTGGATAATGACTAAAACATTTTTCTCTTTTTCTGTCCATTAGAACATATCAAAGTTATTTTGATTTTGAGCAACACATCCCTGACAATATTTCTGAAACTGATTCTGACCATGTGTCCATTGGTCAGTCTAGCAGCTCTGCATCTCTGAGAAGTAATAGGTCCAGGGATTCACCTCTGTTGTTTGCTCCACAAAGGTAAGCTGTGAATGTTACTTTTCATGAAGTTTGTGATGTCATAAAACATGTTGGTTTACACTGGTCCCATTAATCAGGAAACAAGGCCGCACAGCCACTGAAAAAAAAAAAAACACTCACCAGCTCACTCTGTACCCAAATACGATGGAGGGGAGAAGGCACAAAACTCATCCCAACACCTCTTACGATGATGCTAGCCTGAAACTGAGATTCATGTGGATTTTTTAGTTTTAAAAGATTTATAACAATTATTATAATGCACTTTACATTGTGATTCTTGTAAAGTAGCTTTCATTCTATCTATGCCAACAATGCCATGAAAACTGGTTTTTAACTTTTCTCTGTTTTGTCTCACTGTCACACGTCACTATTTCAGATATTAAAATAATAATGATATTATAATGCAAAGACGAGATGAGTGAACAGAGCAGAGTTCACACACATTTAACAGTGTCCAATCTTTTTATAATCCATGTCAGAAAATAACTATCCACTAACAGGGGCTGGACCCTGTCCCCAGTAATGTTAGGATAAAACAGTTAAGGTAAAATGTAAATGTGTTAGTCCCCGTAGGGAAATTACTCCTCTGCATTTAACCCATTCACCCAGTGAAGCAGTGGGCAGCCACCAATGCAGCACCCGGGGAGCAGTGTGTAGGGATGGTACCTTGCTCAGGGGTACCTCAGAGTAGCCGTTCAGTGGAGTCGAACCTCCGACCTTCCGATCATGGGGCCACCACTCTACTACTGAGCTGTCCCTGCCCTGTCTGTCTCAGAGAGACAGACAACCATTCACACCTATGGACAATGCCAACAACTGATTTTCAACGTTTCTCTGTGTTGTGTAATTCAATGAGTTTTGAGTAAAAGCAACTATGATGTGTAAAACTAGAGAAGGAAAGTTGGAGCCCAGTCTTAATTAATTGATGATTACTTAGTTATGCTATTCGTAATTCTTCAGTAGATGCTTGAGGTTTGATTGCTGGTGGGCTATATTTTCTGAATTTCATTGGTAAAAAAGGCAAAACATGATTTTATTTGTGTGCAGCATGTTTGCTTAAGGTGAGATTAGATTTTAGTTTTTCATGGCTACACTCTAGCGAAATATGATAAACTCAAAATTGGAAAAATAATAATGATAATACGTTTTATTTAAAACCAACCCAAGGACACTTTTTTGGCTTGGGGTGTAGCTCAGGTGGTAGAGCAGGTCCGCTACTAACCAGCAGGTAGGTGGTGCGATCTCAGCCTGGGGACTGCCGTCGAGCTGTGCACAAGTGGAAAAAGAACAAACTGCAAGGGTCATTCCAGATGCTAAAGAACTGCTGCCGTCAATATAAAAAAACTGTAAAAGATGCTAAAAGAAAGCACTTACCTGACATTATTCTGTCAAACTGTCACAACCCGTGTGTTTTATTTAAAACTATTAACTCTGTTCTTAGTGCACCACAAACTGACTGTATCGAGTCCTCATCTTATTTTACACTTTTTTTTATTGAGAAGGTCTCCTCCACAAGGGCTCAAATCTCTCCTTGTGCTCACGACCTCTCAGTCTCTTCATCTTGCTCTGCTGTCTTTGACAGGTTTGAGCCTGTGGCTCTGTCCTTTTTAAAGGAGACTGTTGGTCATTTTAAGCCTTCAGGGTCTCCCTCCTTGACTCTTAAAAGAGGTGTTACCTACAGTTGGACCTTGGGTTTTTGAGCTGGTAAACCACAGTTTGATGTCAAGTGTAGTCCCTAAAGATTTTAAACATGCAGTAGTCAAACCCCTGATTAAAAAATCTGCTCTGATCCTATGGGTTTTTTTTTAAATGACAGGCCTATCTCCAAAGTACCTTTTCTTTCCAAAATTCTTAAAAAGCTGGTTCACAGCCAATAATTGGCCTTCCTGGAAAAGCAACATGTTTTAGAGGTTTTCCAAACTGGTTTTAAACCCTTTCATAGTACTGAATCAGCCATTTTAAAACTTTTTAATGACATAGTTTTAGCTACTGATGCTGGGGACTGTGTTGTTCTGGTGCTTTTACATTTGACAGCTGCGTTTGATACAGTGGATCATGCCATTTTACTCTCTAGTTTGGAACACTGGGTGGGCATTAGGGGCACAGCACTGGAGTGGTTCAGGTCCTACTTGGCAGGGCGATCTTTTTGTGTCAGCCTCGGTGACTATGTGTCATCCTCCGCTCCTGTCTTGTGTGGTGTCCCACAGGGCTCGGTTCTAGGCCCCCTCTTCTTTTCTTTATATTTGCTTCCTCTTGGTTCTATGCTGAGAAAGTACAGCATTGCCTTTCACTTTTATGCTGATGACTGTCAGATCTATGTCCCTCTAAAGAAAAGAGGCACATTCTCCACACAGCCATTACTTCAGTGTCTCGATGACATTAAGGCTTGGATGTCTCTTAACTTTTTAGAATTCAGTGATAAAAAAAATTGAGGTGATGATTTTCGGTAGTCCCATCGAGACTCCCAATGTGTATTTAGATACCTTGGCCCAGTATGTTAAACCAGCTATCACAAACCTGGGGGTCAAAGTGGACTGTGATCTGAAGTTTGATAATCAAATTAAGGGAGTGGTAAAATCTAGCTTCTATCACCTCAGGCAGCTGGCAAAAATAAAGCCAATTCTTTCACGGCAGCACTTTGAGACAGTGATCCACGCCTTTGTTAGCCCTCGGCTAGATTACTGTAATGGTGGCTGTGTCTCAGGTAGTAGAGCAGATCAGCTACTGATCAGAAGGTTGGTGGTTTGATTCCTGGCTCCCCCAGTCTGCATGCAAGATGCTAACCCCAAATTGCCCTCCGATGCATTCATCGGTGTGTGAATGTTTATTAGTTGCACTTGAATTTAGAATTTGGTTGTATGAGTGGGTGTGAATGAGGCATGTTGTATAGAGCGCTTTGAGTATTCCAGGAGAGTAGAAAAGCGTTATATAAGAATCAGTCCATTTACCATTTAATGCACTTTATATTGGGGTCAGTGCATCTTATATTGCCCATCTACAGAAGGTGCAAAATGTCGCAGCTTGTCTTTTAACTGGCACTCGAAAGTTTGAGCACATTTCCCCTATTTTAGCTTCACTTCACTGGCTGCCTATTCCTTTTAGGATTCATTTTTAAATTGTTTTATTTGCTTTTAAAGCTCTCCTAGCCCCATCTGATCTCTCTCAGCTGCTACAGCCTTATACACCCATTTGCTCTCTCAGTTCAGCTGATCAGCTGCTCCTGAATGTACCCAGGACTGGGTGTAAACTTAGAGACAGTGGCGTCGTTAGGCCTATTATAGGGGTGCTGAAGCCTCCCTAAAATATTCTCAAGCCCCCCTAAATAATTTGGTGGGGTTTTTTTGTAGTTTTTTTTTTTTTAAACTTATTCGATTTTTTTTTACAGAACTTGCAGACAAATTAAAATTAAAATGCAGGAATATGAGTTTAAAGAAATAATAATATAAACCTGTCGCTATTCACATAAATATGATCATAACTCGGTTGGTCCCTTTCGCTTTTCACTGTTAATGTAGCATCAGTGCTTCGTTATGCAATCCATTCCAGTTGTTCACAGGGGACATCCACATTACTGAAAATCCAGTCCTCGTTTTCACTGCTGCTTTACACTCCGCTAGTATACACCTGCGGACACACTAGCGTACATGCGGCAAACAGCAAGAAATCATGGATATACGCAAGTTTTTCAAGAAAGTAAGTCTTCATCATCGGCTGGTGGTAACAATTAGTTAGCTCCAGCTAACAGCAGAGAGTCCCGTGTAATTAATGAACCAGGTGCTCCCCATTTTGATAAATAAAAACCTGGCTAGCGCACAAAGTTAAATTGTTAGCATAATGTTAATTTCTGTCACTCGTTTTAGCTCTGAAAAATCGAGCTGAGCTCATTCAGGTATGGTCATCATCAGTGGAAATAATAATAATCACTCCTCCATCCGCATTAACCTGTAGGAGTCAGGCCAGAGGAGCACAGAGAGGGAGAGGGGAGAGACCTCTGCTGGAGAGCTGAGTCAAAGATTTCACAGGATGGAGTCATTTGTGATGCAGACAGTCTGATTAGAATTTTATGGAACTCAATATGGATATGAAATATGAAACATTTCAGTCATGGTACAACATATAAGACCTGTTTAACTTGAGCTTTTATTTAGGAGAGTCAAGGTTAGAAAGTGGAGAGAGCAAAGATAGAGATATATATAAGTCAAATTAGCCTGACTCACATATTTTTGAGGGTTCTATTTAAATATTACTTCAATTCAAATGATTTAGTAATATTTTTCAGGGCTTTAAATTTCAGCCATTTTAGTCACATGCGTGCTCAAAATATAATGTTTGTAACTTCAAAATATTTGGGAGCAACAAATTACTGTGGCGTGTGAGCAGAAGTCATGATATTAGCAATTTACATTACAATTCAGTATGTTTTAATGTATCTTGAAGGGTGAGGCAGAAGGAGAGGCTGAGGGAGAAAAAGGTCAACAGGCAAGTTCAAGTCAGAGAGAGCAAAGAGAGACAGAGGAGCTGCAGCAAATGGATCAAGAGGCAGAGGAAGATCAAGTTATTACAGAGAGAGGAGAGCAAACAGGCCAAGAGAGGGAAAATGATGAAGCAGCTGCAGCAACTCATTCTATTACAGGGTTTGATATAGGTGACAAAGACACAGGGCCCAGACAGGTAAAGCTGAAGAGCTGTCCACATGATACTTTTGGTACACAGAAGCAAGCATTTAACCACAGCTGGTTTGAAAAGCACAACTGGTTAGAATATTCAGTCAACCAGAATGCAGCTTTCTGCTTCCCATGTAGAGTGTTTGGCAAAAACATCAAACATGATAGTTTGGTCAGTAGTGGTTGCAAGAACTGGAAGAAATCTTTAGTCATCTTTGGCAAGCATGAGATGGCACAAACACATAAGGACAGTGTTGTTACATGGAAAAGCTACCAGGGAACTAGCAAACAGGGAAACGAGGCACAGATGATAGCAACTGCAAATGTGAG